GCAAAGGCGATGAAGGACAACCATGCCAAGCGGTGGTGGATCTATCATCTATATAGCTCAAATTATACCCTCCTTGATATAGGGTTTATCTTTCTTTCTTTTTTGAATTTAATTAGGTGGGAGTCATAGGTTACCCGGAGGGTGTGCAAAGTGGTTAACCGCACAAGAATCTTAAAATTTTAGGACTTAATATTTTTAAATTAGTCATTAATTTTAAACCATAAGTATTTTAAAAAATAAAATATGGATCAAAATGTAAATTTTAGACCAGGTCAATTTTATTTTTTCATATTTCGGAAGCGGCACTCGTGGGAGTCCAAGATATAAATAGTGAACTACTCCCTCCGTCCTAAAATTAACTTCCCAGTTTATTTTTTTTAGTCAAACTTTTTAAACTTTGACAGTATATTAAGAAAAAAATACATTGAGTTTTCATATAAATTTATTAGCAATAGATTCATTTTGAACATAGGTTTGAAATATATAATTTTTATAAAATATATTTATATAAAAATTGAGATATTGATGGTCAAAATATCGAATTGGAAACCGTGAAAAGTAAAATGAGATGTTAATTTTAGGACAGAGGGAATATAATAATAATGGGTGCATCATATCGTTTCATTATCGTGCGTACTTTATTATCTTTTCCCCAGCTGATAAAAGTGCTACCCTGCAGCTGCTTGCCACTAAGCTCATCAGCGCTATATATATATATATATATATATAAGGGTAGGCATGGACGCACCCAGTTTAGTTAGTTTGTTAACCCCTAAACTCTAAAAAAACATAAAAGTGTACCGTGATATTTTTGTGACATAAAAACAATAAATAATACTCCATTCCTTCCACTAATTTTAGGGCATGACAAAGTGACATACATATAAAGAATCATAAGATTGTGTGACTCGCATTAATGTCATAAAAAATCAATAAAATAATAACGATATATATTAGGACTTACAAAGAACCATGGTATGGCGCAAAAATATTAATAAGATATTTAGATATTTAAAGGTGAAGTTAAACTTTTGAACTCTTTTTTTAAAATATCCCTAATCAAAATCCTAGGGGTGGGAATATTAATGAAGATTGGGCTATTTTGGTATTTTTGTCTCTATGATGTGCACATGTCACCAAAGTGAGAAAATCATAATTAATTTTGGGGACTAGAGTTTGCAATAATTTTTACAACGGTAGGGGTTCAAAGTAAAAAAAAATTAAAGTTTGAATTTACGATACCTCTAAAATTTAATACGGGTTCATGGGGCTAAAAATATGAAGTACTACGTATAATACAAGGTTAAATACTCTCGTAATAATTTTTTTTCTTACCATTAAATCAAAAAACAGTAAAGGGCCTTTCCCCACGGCCCAAACCCAATTTTCTTGATCCAACCGAAGTTCCCACAAAAATGACAGCCTTGAAGCATTTGCCGCACGTAATTTATCCGCACTTTTCGGATAGCTTTTGGCATCTTTGATTGATTTTGGTCTTTTGATTAAGAAAACAGCCAAAACCATTGTTTGGCTAATGGTTTTTTCACTTGGCATTTTTATCCGAAAAGCCAAAATCTCAAATGCCAAGGGGAGTAGCATTTGGACTTGGCGGTTAAGAAAAATTAATTTTTTTAAAATCATTTTTCTAGAAAGATATTTTATAGTACTCTATATGTAAAAAATAAAAATAAAAGATAAAAAAATTAAATACTAAAAAAAAATTAAAATTAAAAATTTCAAAAAATGAAATGAGAAAATAAAATGTAAAAATCATTAAAAACTTATATATTAATAATTTCTTATGAATTAAATGAGAGTAAAAAAATGAAAAATAAATATCGTGTGTCTATATATGTACACACACACAGATATATATATGTGTGTGTGTGTGTGTGTATAGGAAAAACTATTTTCAAACAACTAATTTTACCAAATATTTTTAACGATCAATTGATCCTACCAATCAAATTAGCTAAACTAAACAACCATTCACTACAGCTGGCACAAACTGCCAACAGCTGACAGCCAACATCCAAACAAGGTCATAGTTCATCATGGATTAGCTTCAGGCGGGTCAAATAGATCCGGTCCGAGCCAGTTTCTGCAAACCGGACAGGCCGGGTTCCTAGCGAGCCACGTATCTGCGCATTCCAGGTGGAAGCCGTGGTTGCAGCCAGGAACGAGCCGGGCCAGTTCGTCGGCCCCAATGACGTCCAAGCAAACCGCGCAATCTTCGCCCAGAACCAAATCCTTCCCCGTGACGCTCGGCAGCTTCTGGAGCTGCGTCGGGGAGAGGCCGCTCGGCTGGTTGTCCTTCACCGCCTCCTCGGCGGCGGAGTCGCCGCCGACGTCGTCCGGGTAGGTGGCGGCGTACCAGAGCATGCAGCAGTACACAATCAGCACTACGGACATGCCGGCGCATGGCAGGAAGACGGCGAGAAACACGGCGAAAAGCATTTGATCTCTTTTTTTTTGTGGATTTAAGAAAAGTGCGCCGCCGTGGCGGTTGACTTGCTACAAGTCGGCCGCCGTAAGCGGAGAGGGTTGGAGTAGAGTAAAAGGGCGCACCATTTTTTCCGGTGTGATTATTATATTCTTTGGAGTAACGAAATGTGATACCTGAGAATTTATATTGCCTGCTTGTTGACTTATGTAACATTGTTACGGAGTACTTATAATAATCATTTTGTGTAACTTTTTAAAACGGCATGGTTATGGGCAAGGAACCAACTCAGATATTTTTATACTCCGTATATTCTAAGAGAATAAGATAAAGAAAATGATCCTAACGATTTCTTTACCTTAGCTTGTACGGTTAAAATTAAAACAAATCTGGAAAGAAAGAAAAAACAATTTTTTTATATTCTTAAAATAAAATAACATTATCGCCGTTCCTGAGTATTTGTTCAGTTTTGACTTTTTTTAGTCAACTCTTTTCAACCTTTAATTTGATCTATAATTAAATAAAATAAATATTGTATATTAATTAGATAAAATAATATTTTGAAAATATTTGATATAATAAATCAAATAAAACTATATTCGTATAAATATCTACTATCATTTTTATTTAATTTAAGCTAAGGTTACCAATTTTGACCGCAAAAAGTCAAAAGAGGACAAATACTCTCTCTGCTTTTCATAAATCTTCATAGAATGCGTGACGAAATTTGACCGATTTTATTTTTAATTTAATTTATTTGACTGCAAATGTAAAATTAAAATTAAGATTTTAATTTGTTTAGTAAAAAACATATGAAAAGTACTACAAAACAGGAGCTAGATGACAAACATATACTCCCTCCGTCCACCTAAGACTTTCCCATTACGCGTTACGAGACTTGACCTATTTTCAATTCAATTTAATTGATTATAGGAGTAAAATTTGAAAATAAAATTTATATAATAATAAACTACATGAAAAGTTCTACAAAACTATAGATAACAAGACTATATTATTTTACGAAATGACTAGTAAAAATGAGTAAACAAATTGAGTAAAGTTTGACCATGTGAATATTGTCTGAGAAGATCTATAATGCACAGAGGGAGTATTATTTTATGAAAAGAATAGTCAAAATAGGCAAACAAATTAAAGTAAGTTAAGCTTGACCCTCTAAATAGTGTCTGAAAAGATCCATCTGGATTAAGAAAATGACCAAAAACACTTTACACCATTTTTCTCTTGATTTTCATTCCTTTGGTGGAGTGACATAAAACAAGACTTTTATCATAACATACTCAATAAAACGTTAAAACGAGTCTTTACATCAATTTCTATCCTTCCCCATGACCCTGCCTCCTTGAAACTCTCGTTAAAAAGAGATTTTTATCGTAACAATCTCAATTAAGCGTGCACTCCGCACCACCAATATATTTGAAGATTATTATGATACCATTGACCAATAATTATTTCAATTACACTAAAATATAGGGTAATTTACCTAAATAGGACTAAAACATAATGATTTTTCTCAATATATGACCATACGTTTTTATTTCCCAATGTAGGACCATTGGTCATTATCTATTAGTCATTATTCAACTAAATGTCCAGCATCACTTGGACATTATTTTTTCACTAGTCATTATTAAGTCCTATTTAGGGAATAAAAAAGTTTAAGTTCTACATTGAGAAATGACTTATGTTTTAGTCTTATTCAGTGCAAATTTTACTAAAATATACTCCCTCCGTCCTAAAAAGATTTACACTTTTCAAAAAAATTGCGTCCCACAATCTCCTACCCATTTCTATTAAAAAACCACTTTTACTTATAACTTTTTCAAACTCTACCTATCACATCATACCTTTTTCCTAATAATCTACACATCACATCTTACTTTACTCATCACATCAAGGGTATTTTTGGAAAGTCAATACAAAATTATCCTTTAAGAGACTGCGGAATTGAAGATTATCTCACCGGTGGGAAAGTAAGCTAATTAAGTTAGTTTAATGGGAATTTGGACGCCCGCAGATAGAACGAAGATCCACTTGCCGAAATGCTTTTCTTCAATTTGGCCATCTCGCTGTATATACCCAGGCCACTTATAGAGTGATCGAGAGTAAATATATATGCAGTAGTGGACTCATGAGTTTTGGTGCGTTAATTTGTCATCATTACTCCCCCAAGGTTGATAATCTGAGTTTTTTCACTTCTTATAAGCTAATTTAATTTATAAATTAGTTATGTTTATAATTAAATTTAGGGCAATCATAGGGGTACACCAACATGGGGTACCCCTAGCTTAATTCTTAAATTTAACTTGTAAGCTGCTTATGAGCTAGAAAAAGTAAATAAGTTTTAGCTATTTATTTTAGGCTAATTTTTTTGTTTTTCTGTTTTGATCAGATTATTTATAAAATTGTCCCTCACTATTTATCACGGATCGGAGTAATATTTACAAATGATTTGTGTATCATTGAAGGCATTTTACTTCTACAAAAAAAATATTGACTTATAAACAAGTTATAAACTAAAAATTGTTTATCAATAATAAGCCAATAAACAACAGCATAGAAATACACGTGCAATATATACTCTGTGTGCAAGTTGCAAGTTGCAATGGCTTTCAAACCACTGTATATAGTAGGGTTATATAATGCGTTCATTGTTCACTTTCAAACTAAAACTCATCTTAAATTTAGAGATCAAAGGTAAAATAACAATGCAAATATCTTAAAAGTTATTTTATCTTAATAACAAATTGTATACTCCTCTCCTAATTTTTTTCCCTTGACCTCTCACGGTCTATGAGGGTGTTTGGGAGTGATTAGCTTATGGATAAAATGATTTTTACAAAAGCTGAAAGTAAAAGCACCTCATACATGCTTCTCCGAAACGGTGTTTCATGTATAAAATAATGTTGGTGAAAAGCATAAGTTGACAGGCCAAACAGAGTAAAATTACTTCCAATCAAAGCAGAAGCTAAATTGTTAAAAGCAACATCGTGCTACTCCGTAATTATAAGTATGCACGTCATTTGTAGGTCCACTAAATAACCACACTCAATCTGTGGGAGTAAAATTTCTATTCTCACGCTATTCTACAAAATCTTTTTGTTTTTTACTTTTAAAAAAATTAAGGGGAAAGTATTTTATTGTCTGACTTTCTAAAAATATGCTTGGATGTGTCGCGTAAAACAATGATGCGATTGGTAGATTAATAGTAAAAAAAAGTGTGATGTGATAGAAAAGTTAAAATTAATAAAGATAAAATAATTTTTTATAAAAAAAACAAGAAATGTTTTTCGGAACGAATCAAAACAAAGACGGAACGAGCAGGAGACCCGTGGCCAAGTGAAGTGGCGGGGGGCCTAGGATCACTGTAGTGCTCCTTCTTCATATATACTCCGTACGAACTGTTTGTTTGTTTACATTTTGATTATAGTGCAGCAGTATGAAACGCATTGAAATCTCAAACCCCCGACCCAACAAAAAAAACACACACAAACAACTTTTAAAAAAATAAATAAAAAGTGGATGGTGGGTGGTGATGGCTGTCTTCTTCCTTCTCATCACTAACAAGTACTAATATGTGTAGTTGTCGTTGTCCCTCCCCATTCATCTCCTCGTCAACTTCCACAACACCACATGCGTCTACTAAACCCATAGAATAATTATTACGGTCCGTTTGGTATACCGAATCGACGAAATTAAAATTAAATTGGAAGTTGAAATTTTATAGTATTGGATTTTTTAATTTCAATTCATTTTTGGCACTTCAAATTCCAAATCTACATATTTTGGGCAACCAAACGGCAGAATTGGGGTTATTGTTTCCAATTCCATAGTTTGAATTCCGTGTACCAAACGGGACTTTAGACTCCGATTCCTACATTGAACTGAAGCCATAGGATTGAATGATTTGGTAGCACAAATATATATAGATTTGAATTGGTAGTACAAAAAAATGATTTAGAATTAGAAAACTCGATCAATTCCATCCAATTTAATTACAAAGAATTTTAATTTCAATTCAATTTCAGTTCTGTCAATTCTGTGTACCAAACGGACATTAATAATGATGAAAATGTAACTCACAATTACCTTCCTTAGCTCCACCCGTACCCCTCTGGATTAACGTAACTCTCATCCTTAGCTTTCTAAATACATTCTGCACTTGGATTTTTTCACATTCTATGTATGCATAAATATACGAGTGCTCCCTTTTAATTTGTATTGGGACCTTGTTGACAATATGAATGCTCTCCTTGTTGCATTGACACTATAAATTAATTGTGATGACTTTCCTTCTCAACAACAAAAACAACAATAATAATAATAACAATAACAATAATAATAATAATATAGAGCTCCATTTATTCCGTTTTATATTTCTCTTAGATTTTTTACAAAAAGAATCATACAAGTTCTAGTTTTACACTCGGGCAAGAAAGATGGGCTTGACCACCCTCCACCACGCCCCTCACCCGTAACATGTAAGGCGTGAGAGGGCGTCGCCTGAAATGTCGCAACCACCATCATTGTGTGATGCTTCTTCCTTTTCCAATTATCTTTTTTTTTAATAAAAATTTCAACCAATCAAAATTTAGCACATTCATACTTCACTACTCATTTCACTAGGGGAGTGATAATCAAGGAGTTTTCTTTCTTGAAAGTAAGGTTAGGAAAAGAGTATATAATTAGTGGATACACATATATATTACTCCCTTCGTTCCATAAAACCTTTCTCCTTTCTTTTTTCATCCGTCCCATAAAACACTTCTCATTTCTATTAAAAAGTCACTTTTACCCCTTACTTTTTCATACCCTACCTATCACATCATACTTTTTTACTAATAATCTACCCATCAAATCCTACTTTTACCCATCACATCAAAGGACATTTTTGGAAATTCAATATCAAAATACACTCCCTTAAATCTCTTCAAAAAGCAAAACATCTCATGTTTCATGGGAAGGATGGAGTATATACTTTACTCGAATACCTCATTAAGTGAGAATTTAATCATCACTCCATCCCTCAAATGGCGGGGAATGGCTAGCATATGGCTGACCACCTAGTTTGACTAAATTGGGGTGATTTGATTGGTCAGCGCAATTGGCGTTAACGCAAATATCTTACTCCGTATGAGTGC